GGTCTCCCGCCTCCACACGCGCCATTTAATGGATTCCATCTCAGCTTCGCGGTTAAATTGCTAGGCCCCTGCAGCGACGGCGCGTGTGGAGGCGGGGAGACCATCAGAGAATTAGTCGGCGCTGCTTTTAATGGAGTCGGCAATATCTAGTCGGCGGATCAACCTGTGGACAAACAGTTCAGTCTAAAAGACTTGATTCACTTTCGATCCCAATTCATTTTGGTAAACTGGCACCTTGGTTGTAGTCTACAGAGCACCATTCTACAGTGGATGTAATATCATTATTGTATCCGTTTTTTTTCTTTTGGCTAAACAAAGCCTGCTAAACTTGGCTATCCGACTACGTAAATTCGACATAACAATATTGAAATTAAGAGTGTCATTATATATGGAGGACTGGCCCGCAACGAACAGACATGCCTACAACAAATGGGCCATTCTCAACACTGGGAGTAAAATTCACTGTCAAGACAATCACATCATCACAAGCAAGAACACCGAAAAGGAGATCTTCCAGATCCTTTGTGGAGCGCATCATTGCCACCTGTGTTTGCTACGAGCGATCTTAGCGTGATGTTCACCATGTCAACGTCTGTCCCCCTTGTGTAAACATCGTCTATTTACGGAAGATATGCGCCCCAAGGCATCGCAATCTGATAACGACCATCTGTTCCTCCACACCGTTCAAGTGACGGTAAGACTTTTCAGATTGGGGATTGTTGTCATTAGATCCAAAACCTTCCAAGATGACAAAGAGTAAAGACGACGAGGCAGGAGAAATTCGTTTAGATCATAAAGATGGTAAGTCCTCACCTCAAACCCGTTCCACTCAGGTTACGGCGCACCAGAAAGGAAGATGGTGACAAGGTTTAAAGATGCATACAAAGTCAATTTTTTGTCACAGAAACCGAACAAATGCCAGCATATAGTTTCAAGTAGTATAACTAAGAGAATTACCAAAAGGCATTGTATAATTTTACCCGAAAATGATGTTTGAACGGATTTTTCTGCTGGCATTCTAAGCTGTATGTCAATGGGGCAGGAAAGTAGGTCACGAAAGTAGGTTACATTTACAACCATAAATTTAAAGAAAGGAGCAGTCTAAAGGTCTTTTATGGCTCATCGAGTGATCTATTCAGTTTTTCCCTTGGCATGTCGAATTTATTTGAGTCATATAAGAATCTAGTAGAAGCGGTTTACGTGTTACTGGGAATCCAGGCTCCACCGATGCTCGGTTCGTATGTACCTTTAATTTGGGGCCATGGGATAGATAGAAAGACCAACATCACAGTATTTATCAATTAATTAATCGTTGTGATTTTAGTTTAGGCCTACATGAGTAGATGCATGGTCATTATTAAAATTGATATCCGTAAAATTTCCCAAAATCTTAACATTGCCGAAAAGCAAGTGAGTTTCATGATTTTTTTATTTATAAAATTCCAACATGTTAAATAAATGAATACATACACTTAGCAATATGAAACTTTGCTGCAAATTTGTTGCAAACCATACAATGTGCGGCAAGTATCGAGTTTGCAGGGTTTGCAAGAATAATTGTTGCTCTAAGGCTTCGTTCACATGGAATGTCTATTTTCTAAAAATCTATTTTCTATTCGCGCTATCTTATGATCACGGTCTGTGCCCTGAATATCCCGCCGCGTAATTACTGGCAGCGCGGGCCAGTTACTTATAGTAACTTATAGTAACTGGCTCGCGCTGCCAGTAATTACGCCGCGGGATATTCAGGGCACAGACCGTGATCATAAGACATACCGCGAATAGAAAATAGAATTTAGAAAATAAACATTGAATGTGAATGAAGCCTAAATTTGCTGCAAATTTTAAACAGCATCTCCAGTTAGCAGCACGTTTACAATAAATTTCTATATTCCCTAAAATTTTAAACATTGGCTCATTTGCACAGTAAAATTCCTAAGCTTTTTGCAAACAGTAATTTTAATTTTGTGACAACAGTTAACAA